GTATTTTCTATAAAATACGTGTTATGTGTGTATATATTGTTGTTTATTTGAGATAATTGTGGAATGGATGAATTATATAGGTTTTAATGAGTTAAACTGTATATGTATTTTATATCTACAAATATGTTGGGTAAATGAGATTGTTGGTATGGGATAAAAGGGTAAAGATATAAACTTGTTTTAGATCTGGGGGTATGAATCATATCAGGAGGTTAGTTTTAGATCCAGGAATATGGATTAGGTAACGAGGTAAATTTTAGATCCGAGAGTACGGATTATGTATTTTTGAACTATGTGTTCATTCGATAAGGTATCATATGTATAGTCCTTTTTACGAACGTGATTTTAATATGAGGATTGATTTAAGTACGATATATATATATGTGTGTGTGTGTGTGTGTGAAATATTTGTTGTTGCTCAAAACATGTGTTTTATGTATAATTGATGATATACAACAGGCGAACTAGTTATGGTCTAATATGTGTTAAGATGTGTATATATGATATTATTACTTAAAACTTAGTGTTAAGTATACACTAGTTAGTGTTTCCTAAACGAAGATAGTATCGGAAATTGATTATAAGTATTGTAGCTTTGCCTAGTGATGGGTTAAGACTTAAATGTGATGTTTAGTTCAATTAAGATTGGACTTTGGGTAGTCTCTTATTAAGAGTACGTGTGGGGTGAGATTGATGATCTGTGGAGTACGTCCTACATACAGCAGTATATTTTATGTACGAAGTCCTTTTCAAAGCTTTGTGTCTTGGGTGTTCCTTGTGCCAAGGTACTTTTATGTTCTTGGGTACGAGTCCTTCGCATACCAGAGTACTATAACATGCCAGAAGTACTATCATGTACAAAGTCTTTTGACAATTTTGTGTGTCGGTTACGGGAGCGTACGGGAGTACTCTAGTAGTATTTCCCCATACTTTTATTTTGAGTGAGCTTTGGAGTCAGCGTTTCTTTTATGAAGTGATCGACCGAGCTTCATTTGTTAGTGTTTTCTTTCACGAAGTAATTAAGGGAACTTCGTATACTGCCTAATAAAGTGTGTCGGTAATAGACCACTACTAGGTATGTCAGGTGTTATATTGCTGGATAGAGTGCATCTGGGGGTGAAATACCTCATGATATTCAGGACACTGCTAGGCAAAGTTCGATGCTGGGATAGATAGAGTCTGGGGGTATAATACCTCATGATAGTCGGACCACGCCTAGGCATTGTTATCTAGATAACTACCCTTGACTTAATTGTCTTGTGGTTCTTTCTTTTACGAACGAAGGTTCGTGGTGAAACTTATTCCATTCCCCTCATTTGATGTCTTTATTGATCCTCGTTTGCTGCCAGGGAATTTCCGAAGCAGCTTCGTCAGTTTGTGGTTCATATCGATTCATTAGGCTAGATCTCGTATGATCATTGTATAGGGTCAGTATATGGGGATTGACGGGATGGGATATATTGTTTTAGAAATATGATTTATATGTGTTTATAATATTAGTGGTTTTGCAGGATCGAGATATACTTTATTATCACATTGTTTGAACTAAGTGCTTCCGTACTTTGTGTTTCTTAGGTGATTGGGTTCACCAGGGATATTCAAACTAAGTGTTCATTAGATATTTGAACTTAGTGTTCATCAGTGATATTTGAACTAAGTGTTTGTGAACTAGGTGTTCATTAGGTAATATTGGAACTAAGTGTTCATTAGGTGTTCTTGAACTAGTGTTCATTAATTATTGTGAATTGCGTGTTCACCAGAGGTAATCTTAGGACCTTTGGCAGCACTAGAATTTGTGCTAGTTCCTTAGGGCAATCCTTACGAATGAATGGGAGAAGGGTAATCAATTCTTAGGATAAATCTTTAAGAAATAAATTGAGATAATGGGGTGGGTAATTGGGTTGATTGTTTGATAATTGAATATAATAATTATATTATTGTGGGTTGAAAACCCTATAAGCTCACCAGACTCCTAAGCTTGACCCTCTCATTTTTCTTTGTATTACATGTTATGGTACGAGAGCATAAGTTGGCTAACATAACGAGAGATTTTGGATTATAGGTCAGTAGTTATGAATAACTGTTGTATGGTCTATTTTTGTTCTGTTTATGCTTTGGGTTTGTATTTAACATGACATCCCGAGATTTTGTTATATAACGAAAATACATTTCTTTAAAGAAATGTTTTGATAAATTCTTATCATATTTTGTTTTGGGAACAAATTCCGCAACTGTTTTCTTTAAAAGATTATTCTGGTTTAAAAAACAAAGCATAAACAAATCGGTCTTTTCTGGCCGTGAAATTGGGGATGTCACAGTTGGGGCACAAGACAAGCGATCGCCGTGTCAAAAAAACAGCAATAAGCAACACAAAAGGAACTAGCGTACTCAAGACGACCAGAATCTCCCAGAACAATATAAAAAGATAGGGAAAAGAAACCCTCACAAACATTCCTGAAGAGCTTAAGCAACATAGAGAACCGATTGGCTTTCAAGATCCATTCCCTACCAAGGTTGATTGGTAATGAACTCCAATCCTTTGAGAGTTATTTCAGATCATCGAGATTAATCGACCGATCCAGTAAAAGAGAGCAGTCTCCAGTCAACCAAAGGACAGGAAGCCAAGAACAGGTCTTGTAATTTGCAAGAAACACATATAACTCGTAGTAACTAGGATCGAAGAAATAATAAAGAACAAATTGATCCAAAAAATGAGACTAAAAACCTAGTTTTTCACACAAACAGTGAAAGAAAACTAGATCAAAACATATAGTGAAAACCATAAGCGATCAAAAGGAAACAAGTATAATTACCTTGATTCACAAAGAAGACAAAGCTTCGATGAACAATCAGATACCGGAATCAGAGCCTTACAACTCTGATACCATGTAAAAAAATTGTAGAAACACGATTACCAAACATCATCATCTATTATATCATTTGTGGATCAATAGACATATGGTTTTCATCAACTTACAGGAAACCTCACTACAAAATACCTACACTACTCTCTATACAACTTTCTCAACATAAAACTAACATATCTACAAGATTAGACAGCATATTGTACAAACTCTAAGAACTAACCCTAATCAGAGAAGGTGAAAACGAGAGAACAAGGGAGCACACAAAATATGAATGAACTTGTTAATGACTCTCCTCCACTTGTTCAACCCTTAAGTACCCAGGTCATACATAAACCCGTAAAATATTTGCTCCATTTACGCCTTGCATCCTTCACCTTTCAATAACTTAACTTGTAAAATCTTAAAACAAATAATACCACAAAATGAACCCAAAATAGAATAAGCAAAATGTTAGTTTGATCTTATTTGTATAAAAACAATTATTTATTTCAACATTTATGTACATTTTAAAAATACTTTTAATAGAATTTTGTGACCAATTTTTTTCATTGAACATATAAGTTTGTGGCTTAGTGCACAAATACTATATATTGTTTTTTTTTTCCCGACAATGAGCTTCTTTTCATTTCATAAAAATAAAGAATTAGTATATCTTAATTACTTCAAAACAACAATCAGTAATTTGAATACTTATACGTCATCATTCAAAAGACCATTTTCTATAGGAAATTATTTATCACTTACAAGTTATAAACTAGCTTTCACATAGTTTTGGTGAAACGTTACCACATATTACCAAGATTACTCTTGTTGCATATAACTCTATGTTAGAACCAAAACAACAACTTTATCTACCGTCACGAGTTCAAATTGCTAAAGCCATATATTTGACAACCGTTCACGCGTTAAATTTTATTTATAATTGCATATCAACCTAAAAGAAGACAAAATAAAAATGGATCTAGATCCATTCGGATATATTTTGTATCATATTTAATAAATACAAGTAGGAGAAACACATGGTTTATAGGATAAGGAACATTAAAAGAAACTAATAAATACTCCAACAAATATGGTGAAGGGCATAAGTCTCGATATTATCACGGGGCCAAAACACATTAACATAAAAGGACAACTCCCCTTTCTTCACGGGTGCCTTTTCATCCCATTTCATTATTTTATCTCTAAGTTAATTATTGTATTAGAATACAAAAAATAAATAAATAAATACATAAAATAACAAACTACATAATATGTTATGAGTTAGTTCAAATGATCCAACTCATGTTAACTCATATAAAAAATATATGTTTTTATCAAGTTATATGACAACACGAAGTTATTTCTTTTGCTAAATTGAAAGATAATCATCAAAAATGTCTTTGTAAAAGACAAAAGAAAAAAACATCATTCCTAATAAATAAAGATTTTTTTAGCACATGTCACATTCTCATTGATTTGATCACATATCATTTTATGGTTATTTTCAATTAATTTTTTTCCACGTGACATTTTGTGATCTTTTTCATTTTATTAATTTTCACATAATATTTAAATATCATAATTGCAATAAATGCATATCAATTTCATTAGTTGATTTACTTCTAATTTCAAATTTTCTAAATTAATATTTTATTAGTTTTATTTGTTTATTTATCTAAATTATTTATTTAATTTAAAAGAAAAACAAACAATTTAACTTTAATAGTTCAATATTATTCTATTTTCTTCTTATAAATTCAAATTTATCAAATGTTTAGAATTTCATATATATATATATATATATATATATATATATATATATATATATATATATATATATATATATATATATATATATATATATATATATATATTAAATGAACTCATATAATAAATGGGTCTTACATCTAGATTGAATAAAAAAATCAAATATTTTGTTATAACTACTACAAACTATATTACCGGTCGTTTAATCATGGTATCAAGTTTCCATCGAAAAAATATTCTATTATTAATGGAAGATTCTTAATTATTATATCATATAATCAAATCAAATGTTAATTTTTTTTCTAAAAACAAATATTTAATTTTATACGAAATTTAAATAAAAAAAAAAAAAAAAAAAAAATTCATTGAACCTTGAGAAACATATCACAAACCAAAACATCTAGAGCATGAGACAACTTTATCAACTAATTAAATATTCCTTTTATAGCCCCTTTAACCACAATAACTATAAATCAACACCCCCAATCATAGCATAAAAGGGCATCTAACATTCCGAATAGTAATCTTCTTTGAACTTCTTCTCATCTCTCTAAAATGGGTTCACGGAAGTTGCTTCCATGGCTAGCTATGTTGATGGTGTTTGTAGTTTTGGCTAAGGGAGACTTCGACAAAGATCAACAAGAGTGTGCAGACACTTTGATTGGGTTAGCCACATGCCTACCTTATGTGAGTGGGGACGCCAAGAATCCAACCATGGACTGTTGCTCTGGGCTCAAACAAGTCGTGCAGAAGAACTTGAGGTGTCTATGCATCTTGGTCAAGGATCGTGATGATCCCAAGCTCGGAATCAAGATCAATGCCACCTTAGCATTGGGTTTGCCTGATTCATGTCATACGCCTACTAACATCACTGAGTGTCCTAGTAAGTTATAACTTGTTACATGAATTGTAGGGTTTGTGAGTTTTTCAAGACTTTATTCCTTTTGTCTGCTTATGTGCTATATACATCTTCGTTTAACGAAATTGCTGACTCCTATAGTGATTTAATGTATTATTTTACTGTTTGTGTGTGTGTGTGTTTTTAGAGCTTATGAAGCTGCCACCCAACTCCCCAGAGGCCAAGATTTTTGAAGATTATGGAAAAAACGCAAAAAAGAATAACATCACCAACGTAGCTTCTCCACCAGGTAAATGAGTTTTTTTTTTTTTTTTTTTTTTTTTTTTTTTTTTTTTTTTTTTTAAGTCCCACCTTCAAGAATCAAATGAATTATTGTTTTGGTTTTTTTGATAATCATAACTAACAAATATATGTAAAATTTTCAAAAATATATACTAATTATTGGAACGATAACTTATCAATCAGAATCATGCATGAAACAACCGTATATATGATTTCATTTATTAAAACATATATATATATATATATATATATATATATATATATATATATATATATATATATATATATGCTTTTATTTATTTGTTTTTGAAAATATATGTAATGACAATTATCATATTAAATAATTGATGCATGGGAGTAATTGTCATTTAATTAATATTATTGAAGGGGACACAAGTAACGGCAAAATTGAAGCAAGTGATGTTGGCAGGGGAAAGAAATGGTTGGGATTTGAGAAGATTTGTGCGGTTTTATACATTATCATCATATTTCTCTTTCAAATTGTCTAAATCTTTCAATAAATGTTTAATATCTCATTTTTATCATATGTTATATGTATGTATGTTTTTTATTAGAATGAATTATGAAGTCTTTTTTAGCTATCAAGAGTTGGTGGGTGACCAATGACCATAAGTTGAAAACTTAAACAAATTACAAATGTAAAATTACTAAGGTGAATGTACAGAAGCTTATTCAAAACAGAAAACGTACTTGATTGACGATTAAAACATGAATTTTTAAACAGCTAGATGCATTTGATTGTAGATGCATCTTGAATCTAACGAAAATCACTATGTTTTCCTCAAGATCCAAATAATGAATTTGTAGGAATATGTGTGGTGTTTCAATCTTTCCGAATTTCTCAAACTCTGTTAAAGACATGCATTTATAGGCTTTCTTTTTTATAGTTATCAACTGTCAACAACCGAAAACAGCTTAAAAACTTGTCATATTCATTTTTTAGGACAAAAAATTGATTTCATAATTAAGTGAGTTCAGTCATGCCCAGTGTCACGGGGCAGACTTGAGTGTATGACACCATGCCTTATCTTTGACCGTTAAATATTATTTAATTCATGCCCAATTCTTAGATGAAGAACACAAAATCATATGAAGATCTGGAAATTGGAGAACACAAAATCATATATGATGAACACATATGAAGATCTGAACAACAAAAAGGATGAACACAAATAAAGATCTGGACAAAAGGAAAATGAAGAACACCAATGAAGATCTGGAAAATGAATACAAATACTTGCCGAGATCTTAAATCGATAGACATGTATTTAGTTTTGGAAAACAAATAACACACATGAAGATGATGAAAAACACGAGATGTAATAGAACATATCTTCGTGAAAGATCGGTAGATCGCTATGCAAAAAATTAGGGCCTTCGTCTTCTCAGATCTTGTGAAAAAATGGATGTTCATAGAGTTCAGATGGTAGAAAAAAAAACATTTGATGATAAATTAAAAAATTAAAAAAATAATAAGAAGAAGAAAGTCAAGAAAATATAAATAAATACAAAACTAGTTGTAATATGGTATTTGTAGCTTGTAATTTTTGGATTTGAAGTTTTCATTTTAACTAAAAACAATAAGATGGTACTGCCTTAGGAATTTTTTTTTTTTCTTCTATTTTTATTATATTTTTTAAAAACTAAAAATTAGAAGTTCAAAAGCTACATGTTGAACATCGTCCAAAGAATAAAGAGTATATGAAAGAATGTTTAAAAGAAAATGATAAATTGTATCATCTAAACACTCAATTCGTCTTAACACCTAGGTGGGTTGACAGTCTCGAAACACTGTTAATATTTTGGGTGTATCAAGACTTGAACCTGAATTTCCTATATGAAATTTCAATCTTTAATAAACACTTCCATCAAGGTTGGAAACCATGTTTATCAGTCAAAAGTTATATAAATTGTCAAATTAACAGGTAAAAGCATACTTTAATGATTTAAAATACATGAAATTTTGATCAAGGACCAAACAAATACACGCATAGTTTATGGTCTTACAATAATATTCACCCCTCGTTATTGATGTATTGATCTTTTTGTGTCATTGATATTGATATTATCTTAAATAATTAAACATCATTTGGTAAAGAACGTGGACCATACATAATTATGTATACATCACAATAATTAATTAATCATGCATATATAT